AATATATTACATGTTTTGTTTTCAAATCTTCCGAGTTGATAGATAATTGAATGATGTATCACTGGTAAGAAAATCTAAGGTATTGGTCTCTAAAAAGCATCCATGCAAAAAAGCGTCTATTACTTATTGATCACCCCTCGTATATAGCCTATATAGATACATATATTGATCTTATTGTTTAATGCTGTTTTACAGATGGCATGGAATGCATTTTCGAATATAGTAATACAAATTAAAGCATTAAGTCCCCATACAAAGTTTAATCCACTTTGGCTTATATTAAGTCCTCCCCAATGTTATCAAAATGTGCTATGTGAAACTTTTCTATTGAACTTCTACATCTTTTGAAGGAGATATAGCCTATGTTATGCTGAAAAATTAAGAAAATTGGTTAAAAATAAGTATAACATTTTAATTAATAAGCGCAGAAAAGTGGTTCAGAGAAAAAAAGCTTTTTAAAATTTTAGTTCTCATTCAATCTAATGGGACATAAATATTTAAAACACGATAAAAACTTATTTTCAACGTAGACAGCCCAACGATATTGCTTTATTTTGAAGTTTAGCAAGTTTAAAAAATATTTGTAGGCTACAAGAAAAAAGATTTTCAATTTGAAAAAAATTGTTGCCACCTGAGTGACACTACAGCTTATTCTCATGACATCACAAAAGTCTGAAATAATATTAATTTTGCCTAATCTATTTAGTAGAGTATAGAAAATATACAATGTGTTTTATTTCATGATCTGAAATGGCCGGAAATGTGAAAATTATAAGATGAACAAAAAACCTATAATTCTATATACATTGCTTTCCAGGAGCGATACTTGCAAAGGTTAATCGCTTGATCTGATTCTGCCTTAAATTAGAAACCCATGTGAAATGAAATCTAAAACACTTGCCATCCGTGTATTGCTTATTCTCTGTTTAATCATTCGAGCGTCCAATTGTTTTTGTATACTATAATTCTGGTAATAGACTGCCTGATTCATGGATAACGGTGAAAGGTGACAATAACAAAACCGGTACAGGGAGGGCATCCTTTGAAGTAGCAATCGCCGATAGTGAAATACTCAAAAACAATAGAAAATACCTTTAAATATATAGCCTCGTGAAATACACTGCGATAACATGTCAAAGACATAGCCACAATCATGTAATTCTATGTACATAAAACAAAAATAGACAATTGAACGCATTCTTAATATTTTACAAATGTTCTCCCTACATTCTTGATTACAACTGTAATTCTGTATTAAATAAAATACGTTCTTCAGAAGCATAATACTTTGTTCACATAAATGGGTGTAAAATTCTGCTCGTATAAAATGATTTCGTTAACTCAAGGTGGATACCCCTCCCTTTACCATTACATACACACTAACGATGACGTTGTTTGTGAAATGGTTCCAGGGGTAATACATTCTAAATGTTTCACAAAAAGTCATAAAACAAATTATTCAGTTAGTTCGCACCTGAGAAAAGCACACCTGTAATCACAAATAGCCGCACTAAATACAGAAGCACATGACGCATTGTTAATTTCAAGTAAGATGTAGGACCAAACAAAAGCTGGAGAATTTCACTTTGGAAGATTATTTACGAAACATTTACAAAAATATTGCACTTCAAGAGGCTGGTGTCTCGTATTGTCATCAGGAACCAACAATGCCGAAAGAAAAAAACAAACATAATGGAAAGGTAAGTGCTTGAATTGAATAATTCAACTAGAATTTCTGACACTATTTTCTTAGACGCACTTGGTATATCGGATCGCATTCATGTTTTTAAGCTTTATTACAACTGATATTTTAAAATTAGCCCACGAAGACTCTCTAATATGTGATACATGTAAATACAGAGAAGAGCACAAATAGGCTTGCTATTAAAGTCAAAAGAAATTAATTGAGAGATATCAAGTAAATTGGAAGAATCTGATAGTGGGAATGTGGGGAAACTTAGATTATTTAAACAACTAAAATCGCACTTTGGATTTGAACACTACCTTTCAGAAACGACACTTTCAAATGCTAAACATTTAACCAGATTACGCATAAGCGCCCACAATCTAGAGATAGAGAGAGGCCGATATACAAGACCCATTACTGATCTTAATAGTCGATTTTATAAAATATGTAAGGACTCGGTTATAGAAGATGAAACACACTTTTTTATTAAATGTTAACAATTGGAGTGTATCAGGAAATCTCATATAGAAAAACTTGAAAACCTGTGTAGTAACTTTAAAAACATGAATGACCATCAAAAGACAATTTTTCTATTGACGAGTGAGGGGAACATATTAAAAGAATCTGCTGACATGATAAATTATATATATATTATATAATTATTATAATTATAATTATATATTATATCTGCCCGAGGGTCGTAGGTCCCGAGGGAAGCTATATTATATTGGCCAATCACATTGTTCAATTGTTGCAATCAATCTTGGAACTATTTTAAAATATTCATGTCCAGTTTTTTATTCTTGTCCGTAGCCGGATTTACCTGTTCAAATATTTGATTATTAACGTGGCATGCTGCTCCTTCCCTTCTCTAAAGCATCAAACAGATCGCGATTGTTTGCGTTTTTCTCCATTGTCGTTTACAGTATGCGAACGTTACAAAAAAGAACAAATACGGGAACAGCGATTATGACGTAGCGGGCTATATCTGCCCGCTCTGAGCGGGACGTAAAGCTATATCTGCCCGCTGATGAAAATAGAAGTTTTTACAAACCGGCTTTATGTACCCGTAACACGTCAAAGTATGGGATAAACATATTTATCCCATGCCTGGACGTGTTACAGGTACATAAACCGGTTTGTAAAAACTTATATTTTCATCAGCGAGCAGATATAGTTTGACGTCCCAGCACGTTCGCGTAATGACTGTAAACGACAACTTGGAGAAAACACAGACACTTGAGATCTGTTTGATGGTTTAAAAAAGGGAAGGAGCATCCACTTGATCAATCAAAAATTCGAGAAAATAAATATGGGAATATTTGAGAGAACAGGAAAATCCGTCCACGGCCAAGAAAACAAAACTGGACATAAATATTCTAAAATATTTCCACGATTGAACAATGTGAACCAGATGACCAAGAGTGGTATGGGATAAACATATTATCCTATAGTCGGTTCAGGATATTAGGATTATCCCTTGGCCAATATAATATATTTTCCCTCGGGACCTGCGGCCCTCGGGCAGATATATTATATTTGCCTCGGGATAATCCCAATATCCTGAACCTCATAGGATAATCTCTCAATATATAATATATATATATGATATACAATATATCATGCCCGCTCCTCAGATATGATATTTATTCTCGGGTGATATCTACCTCAGACCAAGGATGGGATTGATATACAGTACCATTTGCATTTGTTTGTCTTCGTTTTCTTGAAAGAGAACTTTATCTACGTTATTTTAGAACTTGGCTCTCTACTCTGGATACTAGTCCAACAACATTAGACCTAGCCTGGGCCTCGTTTCTTATCTGACATGTCTTATGGCCCCGGCTAGGTCTAACTTCCATGATGATTTTGCCCTTGATGCGATCATTTAATCGTTCAGCAGGTTTCGACATGCGGAACGAATTAAACCGTAATAAGATGGTATCGTTACAGAAATAATGTGATCAACGCATGCATACATACCTTATGAATAAATACAAATCATCACATACCCCCCTGTAACCTCATCGATGTATAATTATGAAAATGTTGGGAGAAGGCTTTTTCTTAGTTTAGAAAACTCTGTTCTGGTTCCGGTAACATCGAAATGGCAAATCCTTTCAGGAATAAACCGCCGTTAGCAACACTGAACGAAACAAGTTCATAAAACGAAACGAACCCCGGTTATCCTATATATAAGTACAAAATATTGTAATACTGTAGGAGGCTTGCGATAAACATTGAAGTTATTAAAATGTAACAATTGTTACAAAGCATGTATGCTGAGTAAAATACATGATCCCAGTTATAAACAATTGAGTGTATTCCTAGGTACGTTTTTGCAAGCAGAAAACCATAAACAATTACCATAATTTAATATTTAGGCACAATTATTCAACACAATCACAATCTAGCACAATCAATGACATCTATATTTCTTTGAGCTGAAATTACCAGTAATCAAATGCATCAATAATGTTGCGAGTATTGCTTTTTAAAGTTTTTATAAATAACAATAGAGTAAACTTGGGTGAATACACGCGCTGTTTGAATAAAGCAAAGATTCGTGTCATACTGGATGGTTATAATAAATATCAATATTGAAGAACAATTTCGTTTCGCTGACCAAGTTTACTTTGGCGACGCACAGACAGTCATTGCCGGTTGAAATATTCGTCTCATAAATTGGTAAGAATAAGACTCATTTTACGATTAAAAATGAACATTTAACACAATAATATTATGTGAAATCGCCTGATGAAATGTGGTTTTATATTATTGTTAAGTATCAGTGTCATATTAGCGAGGAAAAGTGGTTTCGATAGATCCACAACTTGCATCAAAGGAAAGAATAGCATGGAGGTTAAACTCAATAATGGCCCCAAGAAAAAATTCCTAATAATAAAGAACGCCGTTATTGAGTTTAACGACGTTGAACTACTCTGGATACATGCGTTGAAGCTGTAATCGCATCAATGTTTTTAAAATTACAAAATGGTTTTAAGGCGAGGGGTAAAAATTCTGCCTGCTAATGCCGTGGTCACATTTGCTCCGATTTTCACTACGGCGCCCGGCCGATTGAGTATATTGTTCAAAATTGTATTCAATTTTGAACAAAATACTCATCGGCCGGGCGCCGGTGCTGAAAATCGGAGCAAATGTGACCCGGCATAACATATTCTTTGTTTTCCAAGCTTCTGTCTGAGAGAGGGGTGCAAAACATAAAGCTTCCTTACACAACTTTCAATAACTTTCATGTGCTAAATGGCCAAATCAGTTTTACCCATTGGTGTACAAATACGATTTTAAATCTGAAAATTGGCTTGTTTTTGTAAAGGGTTTATTCACAAAAGGACCCCGGTTTAACTCCACAATAGCTTAATAAAATTCCAATGGATTTGAATAAGTATATCTAACTGTTTCAAAGTATTGGAAACAGTCAGTAAATAGGGATGAGAAAGAACACAGGATATTTCTGACGATAGAGTGTAAGGGAATGCAAGAAATCTGACCAATCAATATGTTAATACGAATTTATAAAATATTAATATTTGTCTTATGCATAGTATCATCTATGCTTATATTACTAGGACTATATCAGACACAAGCCTCATATGGTCAACTAGATAAATTATTAGTTGGATTCTCTAGAAGACGAACATTTATTACTGGAAATGGAATAAATGAACATAAAAGAAATGTTACCGATAATGATAAAAATAACACACAAAGAAATAATCAGACGACAAGGAAAACGAGTTCCATATTCTTGGATTATCAACAAGTTTTGAAAAGTGGTAATTTCTCTATGAACCAATCAGTTAACATTTCAGAAGTACGACCAGATACGTGTGATGCATGTTTTCCGCAATCTTCGTACATCTACAAAAATGATAATTTGTGCTCAACGAATAATTCTACAACTCAGGTCAAATTACTTATAATAATTTTAACTGCAGTTAGTGAAACGCACAATAGAACCACGGTTCGCAAAACTTGGACAAGTATTTCTAACAAGAACACAGGAGAACTGAGGTATGTTTTCGTATTAGGGAAGCACGCTAAAGACCCGACGTGGAATATGAGAGCTCTTGAAGAAGCTAAAATATATGGAGATATTATCATCAAAGATTTCATGGATGTATACAATAACTTGACTCTAAAAACAATGTCTGGTCTAAAATGGGCATCAGATTTCTGCTCAAATGCTAAATATGTTATGAAAACGGATACTGATACGTATGTGAATACTCCAAAGCTTTTACAACTCATCGATTCATTCGAAATTGAAAACGAAATTATAGGAAAATGCGCACAGCATATTATACCAAGGAGGAATGAGACATTAAAGTATTACGTCTCTCCTGTCCAATACCCTCATTTGACGTACCCTCCCTACTGTTTAGGCGGCGCAGGCTATGTCACTACTATGGAGGTCGTCAAAGGCATTGCGAGAGTTTCACCAAATATACCCTTCTTCTTTTTTGAAGATGTTTATGTTGGACTTTGTAATGAAGCATTGGGATACAAAGTACGCTCGGTGAAAGAATTCAATAAGAAATTGAAACGTAATGCGTGTTGGAATCAAAAAATAATAATCACTAGCCACCGTGTATCACCAAGAGAAATTAGAAAAACTTGGAACACAAAATGTTTAAATAAAAATGTTTAACATAAAATCTGTACAATTTTTTAAAGTTAAAGCAGACTGATTTTACAGCAAGAATATATTAATGACAAAGTACGCTCGGTGAAAGGATTCAAAAACATAAAAGCGAAATTTAATGTGTGTTGGGTTAAAAAAAAGAATAATTGCTTGTCACCGTTCATCACCAAGAGAAATTAGAAAAACTTGGAACACAAAATGTTTAAATAAAAATGTTTAACATAAAATCTGTACAATTTTAAAAGTTAAAGCAGACTGATTTTACAGCTCAAGAATATATTAATGACAAATTTTGAAACTGAGTATGAAATCACACGGTTCGTGTATGTATTGTGTTTAAAATTATCATAATTTAGAAATGTACTCTGAAGGAACAATCAATTTGTTATTGTATTGCAGGTTGCATTGTCAAAACATGGTCATAAAATGAATAAATAAATAATTTAGAGAAATAGATGTATTGATTAAACAGATAAACCGGTGTCCCAAAAATGTTCTCAAAATGAAAAGGGGATAACTCTTTTTTCCTTCAGCCAAAACATTTTCACATGATAAAGACAATTTGTTCAGATGATCCGCTTTCATCACCCACAATACAAAAGTGGTGACATATTGTTACGGACCCTATTGGACAATATTTTTGAAACGGCGTTTGAAGGTCGGTGGCCGGGGTACAACGTCTTTAACAAATGGCAGGTGGGGTGACATTTGGTACAATTTGCCTTTTTAAAATATTACCTTTATGTTCAGTTATATTCATACATGTGTAGATGATAGTATGATACCTAAAAAGGAAATTGTGATGATAGTTGTGTAATCCATGCTATGCCAATGCATCAATCCTCTCAAAAGGAAAGAATTTTAAAGGAGCACGTAGGTTATCGCAAACAACATATCTTGGATTATGACTATTTTCTGACAATGAAGACAGGTCTATCTTTTAGATCAATTCATTATCTAAAAGAAAATTATATGCAGTAATAATAAAGTCAAACAAGTTCGGAGATATTTAACTAGCAATGAACCCATCAACACACGTTTTCAAAGATGTTGACCCAATTTTCACCAAAAATGCAATCATTTTGTACAATGTTTATTGCATTACTATTCTTTATTTTGATGTATCAAATAGTTCTTGAAAGAAAAACTTAATTGCTTTAAGATAAGTGTTCCCCATGTTATTTCTCCATTGAAAAATCTCATGCTATCCATTGGTTTCAGTTCATTTTGGTCATCCAAATTCAGTATCTTTAAAGTCCCTGGAGCAATCAACTTTTCCTTTTAGGAAATCGAACATGTCTCAAAGCACATTCGTATTATGCATTCAACAATGTAATAAAAGGTTGCATTTTTGGTGAAAATTAGGTCAACATTTTGGAAAAAGTATGTTGATTGGTCCATTGCCCCTTCAATATCACTTAGGTCTGAATAACTAAATTATCATTATATATACTTTTCTTGAAGATAATGAATGGATCTAAAAGATACACTCATGTTCATGATCAGAAAATATTCACAATTCAAGTTAGAATCGTTTGAAATGTTTGCGATAACTTACGTGCTCCTTTCCTCTTCCAAACACTGCGTCTACAGCATTCGTTCAATTTTGGCGATGGAGATGACCTATCACGATATAATTAATTTTTCCATTTTGAAAGTCATAAACTTTCTGTGTGATTTTATAAAACCGGAAACATTCATCAGATATGTGCTTCCCCTAAATAGTCGGTGAGGATTGAGGTTAAAGGGTTAAAGTGTTTATATCAATTAAAATTTGGTACACAGTGCTACTCCATCATACTTCAAGATGATTAAGTAACGCCAACCTGCATTTTCAACCTAATACTGAAAAAGGTACATGCCACATTGGACCTTTATCTCGAATGGTTATCCTCAACTAGTCTTGCTCAAAGACTGTATCCACCCCCCGTCACCTTCACTCTCTTTACCTGGCAATATACATATATATTGAGAGAAGGATAAAGGGGGGGGGGGGGTACAGGGTCTTTTAAGCAAGACTAATCCTCAACCAGTAGTTTGAACACAATGTCCGTATACATGTATTGTTTTAATCTCCAAGTCTTAGATGTTGAACTATAGAATTTCTGGTTGACCCATGTGGTTAAAACCACGTTTTCAAACATCTCCAGATTCTCTCGCGCATTAGATGTTGTTGTGTTGTCATCGCTACCTCTACCTTTTCCGGGCCTAATTTCTATTTCCATTTGCGTCTGAGGTAGAGGAATGCAAGGTCTCGAAGACAACGGTCGTGAACGAGCACTTGGATATTCCTAATTTTCCCCATTTTCCTAATGACTTGAGATAATGAGATCTTTGGATAGAGAATGATGTCTTGTGGAGACAAGACCCTTAAAGGGAATGCGAAGTTTCATGTTCTAATTTACACGCTGACTACTTATAACCATCATCTATCACTTCAGCTCACTCCTGGGACATATTGTGTTTGAACTAACAAATAATTCAAGTTCAAAGTACCCATAGGATATAGTCCTGAGTAAGGACATTAGCGGTTACCGTTAGTGATTTGGTTTTCTGAATAAAAAGTCATTTTCTCCTTCCCTACCCCATTGGAGCGCCATCTAGCGTTTGGGAAGTGAACCGGGACTAAATATTTATAGGGTAGGTCCTAATTTATCTGAAAACATGTCAGAGTTCAGTCGGAAATCTCATTTTAAGCTGGCGGCGGAGTGATTTTGACCTTGGTGATTTTACCAGAATTCTCTGAGAAATCTGACGATAGAGGGGGTTAGTGTCTAGTCTATTTATTTCAAAAATTCGGTGGACAACCCATGGTAAGATTGTTATAGCAGGCTAGGCGAGTCTCTCCCGAACACTGTGGTATGTTGCACTAGGCTCGGATACTAATCGTTAATAAGATACAGGGTAAAATGTTATAATGGCCACCTATGGGAAACTCTACTGTGATCTTCAACCATATCTGGATCGCTGCGGATGCCGCCATTCTTATGTATCAATGACGTCATTGATGCCTTAAAATTGATGCCTGGGAAGCACAGATCCGGAGCCAGATCCAGCCCCTGTTGGTAGTAGGCTCAAAGGATAAATGGGAAGATGAGACACGAGCCAAAAATGGCACATCAAAAAAATGACCACCCAAAAATATGACACTCGTACTGACCTTATTTTTTCCATCTGTCAGACATTGATTGATCAATATTTACCCTGTAATCTCTTCTTTATGTATTAGTTTGAATGGTTGCATGATATCCATTATTGACGCTGTAATTCGACTTTTCCCGGGACATTTATTTCAAATTTTCAGAGCGTAAAGATAATGGAGCACTTCGGTAATTTCCGGCAGTGTCCGATGTTGTTCGTCTCTCAAATTACGTCACATCGCAACAAAGAGCCAATGAAAGTAAAGAATCGCGTAGCCTAATAAACCGTCGTTATTGTTTCTACGGGAGTTTGAAGAAACGTCATGGGACTTCTCGGTAATCTCTGATGTGACGTCATCCGGAGTGGCGTCACATTCTCAGAAAAGGCATTTTACTTCGGGAATAATCATTTGAACAACGGAGATAGCCGAAGTGCTCCATTAAATATACGCTCGCTTATTTTATGCTTTTATCAACAGACGCTTTCTTGGATGTTTGGCTTTAGTGATTGGAGTTGAAGGTAACAACAGTACGCATCGTTTGAGGTATGACATGTGATATTTATAGAAAAACTGACTCCAAAATCAAGGAAAAATAAATTTTCCGAAGATCTCGTGTCTTGTCCTTGAGTATATTTATTGAGCCTAGACACAGAGGAGCTTTTCTGGCAGAGGTCCGTGCTGGGAAGTGTCGCTATATAATCACGACATACTCGGATCGCAGAAATAGAACACATTTCACTGATATTTTATAACTATTTCTGTCCGCTTAACATTGTTGCCGCATGTTCATGTCCATATCATATTATATATTTGGAAAGGTTGTTCCAATATATTCTTCATAGAAATTGAATTGTTGCAATGTCTTTTTTCAAACGTTTGTATTTATTTTCTCCAATATGATATAGTATAGGCTAGGTAGAAAAATCACTAAACTTATGAGATATCGGCAGCGCGATTCGCAATTTAACTGGTTTTGACTGAAAGTTATCGCATTATATTCCACTTGAAAAATATCCACTAGAATTATTTTATATGATAAGGTATACGTCGGCAAATGGCATACTGCCGCTTTCTTACCTAATCATAAATGGTAGATTTCTTCAGTCTGTAGTATTCTTTTCAAATATGAATAGGTGCATATTGGAGAATGAAAGAAATAAAACTAAAAGTAGTAATCCAATGAAACAGTAACTCCCTAAAGTGTTTAACCATTTAAATTCTGATGAAAAACGCAAACATAAAAACGAAAAATCGATGTCGTCTAAATGAAACGTATGTAAAATGTAAATGTCAATCTCCTAAATATTAAGATTGGCAATAGCTTTACAAGGACATGCCACTGTCATAGTTTCAAAGAATAATACGTAATGTTTAATTTTTCTCAGTTGTTAAACGACTAATTTCAATCATCATATCACACTAATAGCGAAATTCAATACGACAAAAAAAAGCTTTTCAAAATTCAGTAATGGTATTTCGCCTTGGATCATGACAAGAGAAGGCTATAACATTCAGTGATGCGTGGGAGACGATGGGGTCCATTGTACTGTAGTATGATATTCACTGGGGGGTATCGTGATGCAACAACACCGTGTTGTTGCATCAAGATGGCCAGACTTCCGGTGATCGATTTTCGTACGATGTTTTGTTTTCCCAATTTACACCCATTTCTAGGACGAGTTGCTCAATAATCATACACATGCAGTTAGCACATGATCTATATTTTAAAAAACTGTCATTGGTATACATGTAGCATCATTAAGAAGCGATAAATTCGTGGTTTTAATTCCTCACTATTGATGCAACAACACCACTCTGTTTCTTATCGATGATGCAACAACACCAATGTGCTGATGCAAAAACGCCAATATAATGTATCATTGAACAACAAGAGAAACTGTTTTATGTTCTGTTTACAGGTGTAGGTCGGGACATGAATAAAACGCGTGAGTCAGTGGTCCATGAACGAAACGTATTTTGTTTGGTTTCTTTGTCTATATCAAAGTTAAAAGGATATACAAGGCAAACTAAATAAAGTACAGAATCCCCGGGAGGCAATCTCATTGATATTGTATCTGAAAAATAAAGATTGTACATTTTCTAAATTAAATGCCCTTGATTTACCGTATGAAAATTGCTTACAAATAACTAATATAATTTTGGAAAGACAACAGATATCAGTCATTTTGTGTTGTTAGTACCTCAATTGAAATACTCAATTCTGATTGGTTGATGAGCGGGCAACAAAATGTATTGTTAGTACCTCAACTGAAATACTCGATTCTGATTGGGTGATTAGCGGTCAAAATTATGTACTG